AGCGGAATGATAAACAATAGTCACATAAATATCTGCCTTTGTGTTTTATTATATACTTTTGTGGCTAAGTAAAATCTTATATGGTTGGTACTGACATTATGTAGAGGTTTCAGCATTAGGAGATTGTGCTGTGCTTCAGACTATGGACATCCTTCTCAGATCCTCTCCAAAAAATCCAATTAATGTAACACCCAATCAATAATTTACGAAGAACTATGTTTATAGTTTTACCTTAATGAATTGTCACAAATTAAAGGGAAAAGCATAGCCATTAATTAAATTAATTAATTTGAGAAATTCTCAAATGCTTTGAGTTAGTGCACATGAAAAGAGTTTGAATGATATTTGTTATAACCTATTTTTGTATTGAGATAAAGCAATAATAATTGTTATTTTAATAATTTTAATAGTGTGATAAAATGATAAACATATTTAAAAAAAAAAAATTTCATACATTGGTTGGAGTACAGTTATTTTTTATCTTTTTACTTGAAGGATCAACTTCACAAACAGTAGACACATTCCTATCATGGCTTTTGCTATATAAAATATTTKTATATTTTTATCACAACTTTTCCATTAGAAATGCCAATGGATATCAATCAATCAATCAATCAATTATTTGCACGTCCCTCCTCAAGAGACATTTAGTTGTCATTCTACTTGAATGACGCTCAACCTTTACTAATTAAACTGTTTTCCTTTCGCCTGAAACAGGCTTTCAGATATCACTCTGGTTTGATGTTATCTRATATTGACTTGAATTTCTACATGTTTCATTTGTTTAGACCAAGATACCATATGCATGTTTTGGAGTGTTTGATGGACATGCAGGGGAAGGTGCCTCAATGATGGCTGTGAATACCCTACATATACATATCATGGAAAAACTGTCATCTGTCAAAGAGCTTCTTGCTTAYGGAASTGATGAAAAATTAGCCAAGTGTGACAAACTCTCTGAAGCTGTTGTTACCAGCATCACTATTGATAGACTGATTATTGGTGCATTAGAGGAAGCATTCTTTGAAATGGTAAATGTTTATGAAGCTTTTATTAATAATATTTTTAAGTAATATATAAAATATTAGCGGGAGACCTTTATGGGCATTTAGAACTGTGAGCTGCAAGTGAGCAGTTTTTTAGCCCATAAAGGTTGGACACGAATATTTTATATTGCTTATCAAATTCCAACATAAACTAAGGAGTATTTTGCAAAAACGTCAACATGAAATTGAAGTTAAAGTAAAGTAAAGTTGGAGTGAAGTTAAAGTTGTATGYAAATCAGGACAAATCTCTTGCTCGTATAAAGATGTGGTCACGGCAATGATTTTCAATTTGTGTTTACCTTATGAATTATTAACTAATTTGATAATGAACTATATTGCATGTTTTCCTACCAATCTCACCAAGATCTTATCAAGCAAGAATATCAATAGCATGCAAAGCAGGCTACTTACCACCCTCCCAACCCACTTTTTACCTTACTCTGTAGTCCTTTTAGCATTAGACATTAAGTTACTTATATATTCAGGATGAACAAATCAAGAGAGAAAAGCAGACTTACAAGATTGAAGGAGGCTGCACTGCTAATGTAGCTTTATTCATTGGTAACAAGCTATATGTAGCTAATGCAGGAGATTCAAGGTATTGAAAACTCACACTATTTAGAGGAGGACATAGGGGACTTGTATTTAAAAATTTCCAGGCAATTGGCACACGTGCATGACAAAATGGCTGGCAGATTCAATGAATGCACCATCCCATCATTCAGCTATTTTTGTAAATATATTTAATAAAACATAAGAGTTTTGMAGATCAGATCAGGAGAATCTGACAAAAGTCTTGAGACTCCCRGGTTACAGCACTGGTTATTATATCAATGCCTTTTGTTATTTTCAGGTCTGTTATATCTTTGAAAGGCAAGCTTATTCCCATGTCATTTGATCACACTCCAGAATCAGACAGGCAAAGATTACAGCATATTGTGAGTGAACAATACATCCACTTTTAAATTTCCATAGTTTTTGCTTTAATTTGATAATTTCCCATTCTTAATCATAATTTTTTGTCTTGTTGTACTTTCTTTCTTTCTCATTCTTAAAATTTTTTTTTATTGTATCGTTTTCCTGTACTAGGCATTCCAAAAGCCCCAGTTGCTTGGAGGTGAATTTGGCAGGCTTGAATTTCAGCACAGAGCAAGRAAGAAGTATATAGGTCAAAAGCTCTTGTACAGAGATCGGCACATGACTGGCTGGTACGATACCTAACGTATTTAGTGAATGTATATAGCTTCACTTCTGCAAGCACCACCTTTGATATCGAACTTTGACGATCAAATATGGTGTCAAAAACATTTAATTAGATCTGAATGTTCTGGAGCATAATACAGTAGTACACTTCAACGGGTTGTGCTCTCTTTAGTTAGCAGAGAGCTAAAAGGGACTTTTAGTGAAACTGTTTGAGTAATGCMGGGTTACGCCTATTAATCATTTTGTGAATTTCTCGTACTCAGTCATTCTAAACATTGCTTATGAATCAATGCGCAGGTCGAAAAAGGTAGTCACAGAAGAAGATGCCCAGCGATTTCCTATGATTACTGGAGAAGGCAAAAAGGTTTGTTCAAAATCATGGTAATTGCTTCCTTTACGCAACACGTACGGATATGTGCGTAGTTGGAAAATTTCATTCATCTTATTAACGTATGTCTGCTTGTTACTAGTCGCGTCTTCTAGATACTATTGGTACAACTAGAGGGTTTGGTGATCATGACCTTAAAGTACCATATTGTGGGTTAGCAATCAAACCCTTTCTCACTCCCCAACCAGAGGTGAGTTAACAGCATCCAACGATCATTTTTTAACTTTAAGAGCAACGTCGTATTTAACTTGAGCCTTAATTTTTGAAAGCACCTTATGGAATGTCCAACTTTTGACTCAACTAAATAAATTTTGATATTTTACTTATTATTKATTATTTGTGAATCCGTGATAATGACTTTAGTCATTAATTAATCATTAATAATGATCAATAATAATCAGTATTGTGTAACAGGTTAAGATGTACGACTTAACGTCATGTCAGCACGATGAAGACGACGTGTTAATCATGGCCTCTGATGGTTTGTGGGAAAGACTTTCAAATGAAAAGGTACTCAAATGCGTACAAAATAATCTTAATGTACTTTGATAAGCAAAACTTTGAATCAAAGACATATTTTGGTTTCCACAACCAAACTGTTCCGTGGCATCATCGTCTCCCTTGGCTTTCCAAGTCTTGCGCACTCGTCTCACATTGCTGTGATCATTGTGTGATTCTTGGCCTAGCACTTGTCCACTCTTTTATTGAAGATTACTTCGCGTCAAGTGACGAACAATGGAGGTTTTGTTATGATTGTTAACATGCCGATTTCGGAATGCTGGGAAATGGACGATTATGTTTTCTGTCTGTTGTAGGCAATCGAAATTGTTGCAGATGTTTTCAAGAAAACTCCCAAAACTGACAAACGAAGGTACACTTGTTGATATTGCAGTTGSTTTATGTTGCTAATGGATGTTTTCTTTGTTTGTTTTTACTAAAACTAATAGAATAGTGTTATTATTGTGATCGCAATTCGCCCCAGTTATTGCAGATGTGGTAACTGTTGTTTGTTTTGTTGGTGGGTGGGGTGGGGTGGGGTGTGGTGGGGCTTTAGAAGTAGTTATTTTTCTGGTTGTTGTGTATTTTGTTGTATTGTAATCATGTTTCATGCTTTATTCCTGGTCTGTTCTTCCACAGATACGTTGTAGCAGCACAGACTCTTATTGGTGAAGTCAAAGGGACATTAACAGACAGGGGCTGGAGACGTTCCAATGGCGAAATGGCATCATATGATGACATTACTGTATTTGTAATACCGCTGAACAAACATGTATCCGACCGAATTACAGTGGAGCACAAATCTTAACTTAGRTTCCGCYGGTTTGCTTGACAATGGGCGTGTATCCTTGTTTAGCCAACTATTTTTATGTGTCATAATTTGAGGGACTGCATACGCGCTTGAAAACGCTATAAAATACAAAAAAAAAAAACACACTCATTATCAATAGCCATTAAAGCAAGTCCTTCATAATATCAAAAATCTAAAAATTTTTCGAAGGCAAAAGGTAGTAATATAATTTATAAAACGAAATTATTAGAGGAAATTAATCGCATTAGCACTGAATGCTTTTCAGATATATATACGTTGACAATCCTCGCTCACCAAACATTTGCGCATAAAAAGTCATCTTAAAAGTTAACTCAATGCAAAATCGTCATATCCTTTGCATATTTTCAGACGTTGTTTGGTTATTGTAACTTCAGGACTTATTTTTGTCTTATTCAATCGTTTTTAGGTCTAACCAGGGACGTCCCTGGTCTAACMTCTTTAAAGCTGACTGACCGGTTTTGGCAGTAGTTTTTTTATGCATCGACCACTGACTTTACAGAAACGTTCGCTGAGCTCCATATGATGATTTAAAAACTTATCATTGTTTTAGATGCATTAAAAACAGGTTGCCAGAGATCGGTCGGTCATATCTAGTCTCCTCCCCAGCAACTCTTTTTTCCTCCTTTGGGCTTCCTTTGTAACGATCATCTTGGCCCCTCTCTCGCCCCCATTCTACCTCATTTGGCTCCCATTTTATTCCATTCTTAGTGRTGCCTGCGGAGGTGACTAGGTCATTCCTAGATCTCTGGGAATTTCTTTTGACGAAAAGCTGTCTTTCGATAGAGATATTGAAACTGGTTTATTGTAATTATAATAAAACCATAGTTAMTAACTATGTTTTAACTCAATTAGGCGTTTTAAAAATGTAATGCAGTTGTGGAGAGAAATATATCGTATCTTATACAGAAAGTTAACTAGAAAAATAAATTATTAGTGTAATAGGTCAGTCGTAAATTATGTTCAAGACATCAATGAATTTTACTGCAACGGAAAGCACGACCATGCGAGGTGACTCTAGCCTTTTCCCTAGAGGCAAGCCGTCATGTAAACAGCTACGTCCTAATGCTGCCCTAGACAACTCTAAATGGTGTCCCGTTTCAAACTCCGAATCTCACTTACATGCTCCGAATTCAGTATAGGTTCGATCTAACTTGGTCCGGTAAAAAGGGTTTTTAACCCTAGGATTAGGGTTAGGGTTAAAAGGCCTGTTTCAGACGTCGATCTTTTGCCGCGTCTAATCTAATTGCTTACATGCAGTTCTCGAGAAGTTTGCAGTCGACATCGATTGATATTTACAGATTATATAAGTTTGTCCAACTCAGAACAAAATCTACTAATGTCAATAAATTCAGAGTACAAAATGCTCATAAACTAAAATCCATCAATTAGATTATACTCAACAAAAGATCGACGTCTGAAACGGGCCTAAGACATCATCATCATCCACACTGATGCGTTTTCGTACGGTTTTGTAGAAGACACTGCGAAACGCATCGCTGTGGACGCGCAAGGCATAAGGAGAGATGGGCTTGAGAAATGACATTAGTTGATGATGTACTAACTAATYCTTTTATTTTTAAATAGCAATATTGACATATTGTACGTCTTGTTTTTGTGTACATCTTCAGAATTTGAAGACACTGAAATTAAAATAACATTTAAAGAATCAGAACCGTCCCGTTAATCCTGCAGGCCTCTATCGACTATTCCAGAAAGTCTAAATGTAAATATAAAAAACGTAAACATAAAAAATAGAGAGCGTTGTGGTGTTTGTAATAAAAAGAATCCCAATTGTATGTACCTAATAATGTACATTTGGCTAGTTTGTCCCGCGTACGTACGACGGTTTTCCAGCGAAACTTACCTGAATCACGTGATACTACTGAAAGTACAGCCTCGGATTGTACATTCGCTTATTGATTTCATCTAATAGTACAACATAACAAATTAAGTCAATGAATTTCGTAATTTCAAAAACGAATTTGGAGGATAGAGGATATACCGATTTGACTACATTCTTCCAGTCWTACCAGTCATTCCGGTCATACCAGTTTTTTTATTATTATTATTTATCGTAACTGGTTACTCGGCCCGTATTCACATCATTGTGTACTTACTGTAATTTGGTAGCGGCTGTCTGACGGAACCTGTAATACAAGTAACCAAGCACTTTTTAACATAAACTCCTGTGACGTTAACGGACGAGGGGGTATGAGGAGAGAGAGGAATGAGGCTATCTTTACAATATCCCTTTGGCAGTTCGTCGATTTCTACTATTGAAGTAACGGAGAAGGAAAAGGAAACTGAACMGGTGAAGGAAGTGCTGTCCTGCTYCACCCCTCTTCTTCCGTCTCCCGTTCACAGTTAATTTCATCGACAGTAATTTTCCATGACGGTTCTGATTTTATAGTTGATTATTAAAGTATTAACAAACCTTTCATCTCTCGGCCTTTCCGTTGAGGATCCTCTAAATCAATAAAATAAACAAAAATGTATCACTAGAAGAATCTTTAGTTCGATCAACTGTGTTTTTGTGGCTCATGCTTTGTAAATCACACTTTTATATATAGAGTTGTCTTGATGCACGTTGTTACTCAAGCGCCATCTTTTKCTGAAGTTGTAATTGTCGGTTTCTTCCGGGGTTTATACCTGTAGCTTAATCTAATCTAATAAGGAACCCTGTGGTGGCAGGTGTATCCAACTTAACCAGCTTCACATTTGGCATTRAACAAAAGAATGACCAAAAGAGGGGAATTCGCCGCATGAGGCAGGGTCTGGGTTGAATTGGACTCCAGGAAATTCGGAAGTAGAATAATCAATCCAAAGAATGATAAACTTCTAAAGAATCATCAAGATAAATAATCGACTTACCTTCTTTAATTGTGTAGATATTGGCTGAAGAAAGATTAGATATATAATTACTACTTTAGGAACGTTTTGGGGTTTAAAATTCTGGAATTCCCAKGCAAGAACAGTGGCTTTGCTCAGTTTTCCAGGGGGTTGTAACTGTCTTCTTTGCTTTTCATTCGGAAAGTCGTCAATAGTTTTACATTCTAGCTATCAGTTCTCCGCATTATATTAAATTTTACAATAAAATAACTTTTCGTAAACTAAAATGTTATTTGAATAAAATCTCAAAAAATCTTTAAACGAGGCTTTACCTGCTAAAGAGTGTGCGAACAGCAAGCACATTACAGCCAAAAGAATCGTCGTTTTCATGTTACCTTTAGGCTTTACTGTGATTAATACTATTACTTGTACTGGCAGCAGTAATCTAAGTCAAGAGACTTGCAATTAGTTGACGAAAGCTTTATATTTGCCCTCTGTTTACTTGAAATTAAAACACATAGGTGAAATGTCGTCCTGAAGTACAGATTGTTTGACTTATCATAATACTGTTTCGCAATGATACTTTCCCAAAGAACATGACAGTAAAGGAGGGCACCGTTGAATACCAAATTAAGGACGCAATTCAATTTTAAGAGGAGAAGCAATTCTCACCCGCTTTACCTTTGAGTGATCTTCTTTTCACTAAGAGTGTCTCTTTCCTTTTGATAGCTCRGCGTGTTTTATAGCTTTAATAAGAATGCTTGTAACCAATAGTATCAGTGTTTTTATGTGTAATTGTGAGTCTGTTGGCTATTGTTAGTAAGTCTTGAGTGTTTGAAGAGGGTTCTTTGTCAAGTGAAATAGGTTTCCTGTTCATTGTGTCAGCCGACATCTTCCAAACCTTTTCATTTGTATCGGGTCTTTTGAGACGGAAATTGGATCCTATTTTCGACAAAAGAAATGATTGTAATTTGTAGGAATCAYCTATTTATTGTCTGCATTGTATTTACTCGAACAGACGCCTTTTCAAATAAAATCACATTTTGATTTTAGCAAGAAATATCAATGTGCATGTGCATCAATGTAGATTGAATTGTTTCATCTCTGTTTTGGACCTGTTTGTCAAAAGTCTTGAAATTAGTGTATAAAGTACTAAATTATACTTTGTTTCAAGTTGAAAGGAAAGAAATAAAGCGTTCTTTGTTTATCAGAYTGTTGATAAGTTTGATAAGTTGATAACTTTCTTACTTTGTCCTTTTGCCATAATGCCACTTTCGATTGAATGCCACGCGTCTAATCGCCGTCCCCGCAGTAAATTCTAATTTCAAAGCCGTAGGAACCAGACAACAGTGTTTTGACTTATGCTCACTTTCTATAAAAAAAGTTTTTGCGTATTTTTTGGAGGATTGATTGTATGAAATGTCATGCGTCGTTTTAATTTCGGAAGGAATTAAAATAAATGATTTCGTAAAATTTGTTTGATCAAACTTCACAAGGCGTGCTGGATTTGATTAGGACATTTAATTAAGAAAATCGGAAAAAAATCAAAAATTGAATAAAGCTGATATCAAAAAGGGTGTAGCATATTAAAGGTCCAAAGAAAAGCCATTYATATGAACGAAAAGCTAGTAAAGAAATCGAAATATCATGAATGCAGGTGATCTCTCCCCACGTGAAAAGGTGGTATCTCAATTCACTTGTGAAAATAGCATCTTAACTTCACAGGTAATAAAAGGAAGCTATCTTGTTTTTACACCAATGAGTCAGATATCACTATCGTATGTGAAGATAGAACTCAAGAGATGTTAATTGAACAGTCAAAGATAAAATTCGTATGTCCCCCACCCCTTTTTAGCCCATTTGATATCCTAACCTTTGCTATGAGGTCATGGTCATCAATTTTAGTACGGTTATTGATTTTCTGATTACTCGGACATATAGAAGAAAGAGCGTAAGCTCCGTAATGTTATTTCTTGCGTTTTTCTTCTGTTCAGTCATAAAAAACGTCACTAAAAACGGAGTCAGTTGTGAAAACGTCCTTTTTTGGTGTTGTTTTTCTTCAATCTGAAAATTTCGTTCAGATCATCAAAAATTATATGTCTGTCAGTTGATAATGTAATTTTATTTAGTGTCAGTTTCACTCATGTGATTATTATGGCGACTGAAAAGGAAGCACTGTCAATCGTTCGAAGAATAAGCCGACGTAATGGTGAGAGTTACTACAATATAACTTGAGTTAGGTCAAGTTAACTACGATTAGTCTGGAAAATCACATTGTATTCATCATATCTGTGAATACTTTGTTAAAAAATTGCACGAGTGAKAAGACACGGAATCTTGTTCTAATTTGCACAGTTTTGTTAGAAATTTAAACTACGTCAAGGAGTGTATTGAGCATGCGCAGTAAGTAGTACAAGCCTCGATTTGAAACGACTTTGTTCTAGCCTTCGACTGAMCTTTGAAGCACTGCGGAAAGGTGTTTTTTGTTTCCGGCTGTATTAGACCTTGTCGTTATCACATGATGCATCATGACAGCATACGAAAAGTGGTTTATTTGTTAGCATAGTTTTTACTCGGACACTAAGTAATTACCAATCTTCCACACCATCTCAAAGTAATTGTAATACAGCCTCTATAATAATTATGGCTTTGAAGAGCTCTGAAAACTATATATTTGAGCCACGAAATTATTGAGGTAACGCCGTTATAGAAGCGAATGAAAACCGCAAGGAGTCGCCATCTTGGATGACAACAGAGTATAAGCTACACAGAAAGCCTGCAGGGAGAAAAAGCATTAATGATCACGGATAACATGACTGAGAGGCACATCGGAAAACACGACAGATCACGGAAACAAGGCCAGTTTAGGCTGCTAGTATACTCGGGGTATGTTGAGAAGAAAAATGCAAAGGCCAAGTTGGCTAGCGACGACTGATTCCGTACTCTGATCACCGGCTTACACTCTGAGGTTTTTGCTGTAGCGTCGCCGCCATTTTGTAAATAGCTACAAAGACGGAACTGGGAACGAGGTTATATGTCATGCTCTCTAGAGTAGTCAAATAATTCATTGTTTTATTCTCCATTTAMAGACAAACATTATTTTTTATGCATTATACTGTATAGACCTAATCGGCTAACGCGCTTCTATAAACGTTTCCACCCAATTTCATTGTTTGTTCAGTATT